AGCTGCCCTTCTAAGTTGTCCATAAATTAAACCACTCTCCATTTCCCCAGTCTCTGCCTCCCTTTACCACCTGAAGGAAACCAGGACCAGCGTTAACAATGTTGTCCTTGGCCCTGAGATGTTTGTTTTTCCTAGTGGAATGGGTTACATTCCCTTGGTTGTCCTTATCTCTGAAGCCTCCCTAAATTCTTCAGAGGTCCCCTCCTGCACTGTCCCTAAAACTGCCTAATTCCTAGCTTGCCCTGTGTCTCAATAGCATAAACATTCTTTATTGTTCGGGAAGGGGGTCAAGGTAGTCATGGCTACTACTGGGGCCAAGCAGTGCTGTACACCCCGCAATTTCTCCGCTGCAGCAAGCAGCAGAATCAGAGCAGTAGACATCCCCAAGCAGCAGACTTGGGAAACTTCCTGCTTCACTATCTTGTATGTCCTCACAAGATTTCTTTCATTACTGTTTGTTAAATAACTATGGAACTTCATGTGCGGAATCAATAAATACAGTAAGCACTCCCTCATGTCATTGATAGGTTCTTGGAAATTAATTGTTCCTTTAACAACTGGTCCTGGAATATGTCTTTTTATTTAATGTCATTTGGAATTATTTTGGATCATCAACATTATCACAATAGGACACTGAATGAAATGACATTATTTAAGGATTTGCTGTACCTCAAAGGGAGCTTCTCAAGAGGTAAAAAAAACCCAGAAAATAAATACTTAAGTATCACATAAGGTATTGTTGGAGGGTACTAAAGTATATGTTTCAGAATAAATGTTCTTTTATCATTAAGTCCCTAATCAATCCCTAAATGTTTCTTAACATTTATTCTTTCAATATAAAATGATATGTACTTATAAAGTTAATTTTTAAAAATCACTTATTCATGCAATAGTAGTTTGCTAGGGCTCCCATAACAATACCACAGCCTGTGTGGCTTAGACAACAAATTATTTTTTCACGGTTCTGGACACTAGAAGTCCAAGATCTAAAAACCAGCAGTTTGGGGGCCTCCCTGGTGGCACAGGGTGTTAAGTCTCAGCACTGTCACTGCGAGATGATCTAAGTTCAATCCCTGGCCAGGGGAGCTAATCAACACAAAGTGCAGCAGACCTCTCCTGTCTTGCCCACTGCTCCCCTCAGCAGTGTATTTCAGTGGAACTGCTTATTCTGCTCCCCACTCTGTCTCTAGTGAATCCTCTCACCTCCCACACCTCTGGCTTACACCCAAGTTCTTCTTTGTATAAATACATAAACAAACAAACAAATAAATAAAAGGCAACACATGCAAAAAAGAAAAGAAAAGAAACCAGCAGTTTTGGGTTATTTTTTTCCCTGAGGCCTCTCTCTTTGGTGTTCAGACACCATCTGCCATTTCTCTCTGTCCTCACCGTTTTAATTTAATTACCTCTTTAAAGCTTCTTTCTCAAGATCCAGTCACATTCTGAGACACGGGGGAGGAGGAGGAAGAGGTGGTTAGGGTTTCCACATGAATGTTGGGGAGACACAATTCAGTCCCTAACAAGCAGTTTGTTAAGCAGCAGCAGGCCTCCACACTCCTGCCTCATTTCCTAAGTACCAGGGGAAAAAAATTGTGTTCTTTTAATTAATTATTTGGGTATTTTTCATTTATTATCAGTGATTTGAGTATTTAATTATCTGGATTTTTATCTAATGCCTCTTCTTGATTTTTCTAGTTTAGATTTCATGCCTTCATTGTCACTATGAAGGAGGTCACTTCCTTACCCTCACCAGGCACACACACTTCTTTCCTTCTTGTCCTTGGAAAATCATTAGTCATAATTTTGGTGAGGTCAGTGGTTGGTATTTACATCGTTGTGCACTTTTGTTTTTCTTGTAACCAATATCTTTTTTATTTGCTAAGTTTTCTTTGTATTTGCTGCTAATGGATCCTGAAACTTTACCCCTTTGTGTAAACTTTATCTGTGACTCTAAGACACGCTTCCTAGTCTATATCCTCCTCCGGGCACCATCTGTCTCTTGGGGCCTCTTGCTTATTCCGATCCGGACTGGCTGAACACTAGGAGATCTGAAATGCTGCTACTAATTCCCTTTGCTTCTCTCATGGGCTGGAATTCTTATTCCCTGGATTCCAAGTCTCCCTGTTTTTGTTCTACTTCCTTGTTGCAATGTCAGTTTAATATTTCATGGATTCACTAACTCAGCAAACATTTGTTGAGTCTGTGTTGGGCAAGGTGCTAGGTACTAGGGGTACAGAGGTAAGAGAAATGGACAAGGTCATGCATAAAGCCAGAGATGTTGGGCTCTGTGACAACACAATGTGTTGTCAATGGCCAATGTGACCTGAGTAGGAGCAGGTGCCTGGTTGCCTAGGAGTTGGATAACTACTCTCAATGCATGAGTCATCACTGAGAGGATGGGGAAAAGACTAAAACCTGAAACCTATTGTATCCCAGATTCTTTATGTAAATATCTTTTTAATATTAGATTCTATTATTATGATACCCATTTTAGGAAGGGAAGGCTAAAGTGTTAAGCTGAGGTTCAGATCATGTTAAGTAACTTGCAGAGCAATTATTCGACTGCAAAATTCTTTACGTTTATGTCATACTATATTATATCACACTATCCTGTAAGAAATGATTGCATGTAACACCAAAATTAAGATTTTATTTCCTCTTAACCAGTCATTTTACTTAAGCATTATAGTGGTTTGTTTCACACTATGGATCATCGTTTTAAACATCTTGAGGGCCTCCCCGGTGGCGCAGCAGTTGAGCGCTGGATTGCGAAGCAGCCCGCGGCCTCTGCGGTGCCAGTTCGATCCCCGGCTGCTCCCCGGCCACCGGAGGAGGGCCCCACATAGCGCGCAGACCTCTCCTGCCGCCCGCTGCTCCCCTCAGCAGTGTACTTGTGTCCTTCTGCCTGCTCTGCTCCCCGCTCTGGCTCTGGTGAATTCTCTCACCCTCCCGCGCGCTTCTGACTGTACCCAGTGCATGTATAAACAAAACAAACAAACAAACAAACAAACAAACAAATAAATAAAACATGCCACTATTAAAAAAAATAATAAAAAAAAAATAAACATCCCAAGGAGTATAACTCCCTAGGACTCCTCATTCATTCAATAAATATTTGTGGGTTACAAATATATGTGGGGCACTCTTCTAGGTGCTGGAGATATAGCAATAAACCAAAAATAATCACTCCCCTTTTGGAGAGTACATGGGTGAAAAGTATCACAGACTTGAAAAAAATGGGGGCCTCCCTGGTGGTGCAAGGAGTTAAAACGCAGCACTATTAAGCTATCCGAAGCCACTGCAGCTCCTGGCCAGGGAGGTGACACACATGGCGCAGCAGACCTCTCCTAACTTGCCCACTGCTCCCCTCAGCAGTGTATTTCAGTGGATTTGCCTGCTCTGCTCCCCACTCTGTCTCTGGTGAATCCTCTCACCCCCACACTTCCCCTCCCCACCCCTGCCCTGGGCCTGCACCCCAGCTCTTGTATGCTTAAATAAATCTTTTTTTAAAAAAAGTGAAGTTAACATAATCCTATGGGGGAGGAAAACAAAACAGTGTAAGAAGAGGGTACTGTAAACGTATATTTAATAAGTTGGGGAAGGCATTTCTGATATGGGACATTTGAGACAGAAGGCAGGAATGGAGGGAGACACCTGATATCTAGGGAGAGAGAATAGTAAATGCAAAGGCGCTAAGATAGGAGCATGGAAGCCAGTAAAGCTGGGGAAGCTTGAGTCAGGGGGAGGACAGTAAGAGACCTGTAGGGAACCTGGACCTTGGTTTTGATTCCTGGCAAGGTGGGAAGACATTGGAGGGTTTTGACATGACCCTCAGAAGGTATCTTGGACATTTCATAGGTCACCTATTGGCCATGTCTGGCTTCTCTTTTGTAATATAACTCATAAAGTTGTTTTTACCCTCTCTCTGCACTTTCTCACCTCATCTTTCAACTCATGTCATTTGGCCCCTGAACCCCATTACTGCTCTGAAATAGTTCTTACGAAGTTGTCAGTGATTACACTTTGCCAAAGCCCATGATCATGTTCAGTCTTCTCAATTCTCAACCTTGCAAAAGCAACTGACATGACTGAATCTTTTTCTTTCTGGCTTATTTCGCTGAGCATGATCCCTTCTGGCTCCATCCATGTTGCTTCAAACTGCATGTGTTTATCTTTTTTGATTGCTGAGTAATATTCCATTCTGTATATGTACCACATCTTCTTGATCCAGTCATCTATTTTTGGGCATTTGAGCTTTCAATACTTTTAATATGTTGATGACTTCTGCATTTCTATTTCCAGCTCTAAATTTATAAATTCCAAATGCCTTGTCCATAGGTCACTTGCATGTCAAATAGGCATCATCCTGAGATGTTCTTCATCATAGAAATGGCACCGTCCCCCACCCAGCTGTTCAGGACAATAATCCTAAGAAACATCCTTCCTCCTTTTCTTCAGTAGTGCCATTGGCTCCACTCTCAAAATGAACCCTGAAATTAACTACTTCTCACTCAGTACACTCCAGTATATGACACTAAGCCACTATCATTTCTTGCCTGGATTGCTGCAAAAGTCACTAATGTGTCTTCCTGTCTCCCTGCCTTCCCTCTTCCCCATCTCCTGTCCATTCTCCATCCGGTGTGTTAGAGTATGAGTCAGATCAGGAGCATTCCCTTACTTAAAATCCTCCACCGTGTTTCCACTGCCATGAGAACAAACCCAAATCCCAAACCCTTTGTCATGCCTATGACATCACACATGACCTTGGCCTTGTGGTTCCATTTCTTCCTTCCTCTCGATCACCAGGAGCTCCAGCGACAATGAACATCTATTGCCCCTGCACCCAGTGAGCTGGCTCCTGCTTTCCATCTCTGTCCTGCCTCTCCTCCTCGCTGGAGACTTGTACCCAGGCCCTTCACAGGCTTCCTCCACCCTTGTTTCTTTTCATAGCTCAAGTGCCACCTTTGAAAGGTCTTTTCTGACCTCCCTATAGATGTCTTCCCCTTCCCCCACCATGCTAGCACTTAATTTTTGAAGCCCAACCTTAGCGGGGTGGAATGGAGGGAAGGCGTGGGGCCCTGTGTGGGGGTGAACAGGTGTGTGGGGCTAACAATGGCCCCTCCTTTACTTTCCGTCCCTTCCCCCCTCCTGCCTGACACCGACCCTCTTCTGCTCCTCCCTCCTCCCTACTTTCAGGTTCCTGCTGTTCCCTCCCCGCCCCCCACTCATTACGTCAACCATGCCTTGACGTCCCCAGCTCCCGGCATCCTGCGCGCCTGAGGTCACTAGAGCTCTAAAGCTCTGCAGCCACCTGACGACGGGCAGGGAGGGGCAAAGCAGGGAGGAGAGAGCAGCAAGGATGGCGCCGGTGGCTCTGCGCTTGATGCTCTTGCTCATAGCCGGGGATTTGGCAGGTAACCCTCACTTCGGGGCCTGGACTTGGGGGGCATGCGAAGAAGTGACCGAGAGGAGGTCTCGCTAGAGAGGGCCAGATCCAGATGTGGGCGGCCCTGGGGTCCCTCCGCGTAGCGGTTAGTGGTGGTCCCGAGCCCCTGTCGGTTGTCCTGGAAGCTGACTTGAGGGTGTGCTGGGCAGCTGTTGTGACTTTGTGGAGCAACGACCTTCTTAAGTTCTCGCTTAGGCTTGTTCCCCAGCTACTTCTTTGCGACACACTGCTATCGGCTATGTTTCCTCTTAAAACAGATTATCCGGAGCCCAGGATCAGGACTTACTTGGTTTTTTAGGTACACAGTGGCCCAGCAGGACATGTATGGGAATTAGAAATTGATGCCAAAGTGAGTCAGGCACATTGGGTCTTAGGAGAAAGGGACGTTTAGTCCTGTTGGAGGTGATGCTCATTTTAAGATGGAGAGGAAACGAATATTTAGAGTTACTTCTCTGACTTTTGTTCCATAACTTCAAAGTTCTTTCTTAAGCAAAGCTATTAAAGTGGTCAGTAAGAGCCTGTAGCAAATGTTCTTTCTGTATGCCTGCTGGCAGAAGTACCAGGAAACAACTGAGTATTCTTTTGTGAGTACAGTGTTTCAAAGACGCTAGGGATCCATGGGAAAGGGAGGAGGTGTGACCCCAGTAAATTAGAAGGTGGATTTAAGACTCCGTGATGAACAAGAATTGACCTTAATCATAGACTTTGTACTGTTTCCTTCTTGCAGCTTCTTTGAACACTCAATCTGCTGATTCTTCAGAATATACAAGTGTAAGTCGGACACCACTTGCATTGCTTCTACTAATGCAGTGAAGGAAAACAATTTGGGTTGGGGGCTGGTTTTCAGTCTGACTTACCACTTTTGAAACTGTTGACTGCTTCTTTAGAAACCAGATTTTCAGGCCGGCCTTTTGATATAATTTTTTTTTTTAAATGTAAACTGTAAAATTTTCAGTCCCCGAAGGCTTTAAAGTCTTAGTTTCTTTTCATATTTCCTTGAGTGATTCAGAAGGTCCTGGGCATAATAGTGACATCTTTTTCTAGATATTTTATGTCCATCATCACATTCTGTGGAAACAGATACTAACCAAGCGAGAACAAGCCAAAACTATTTCTTCAGAACTTTCTGTATCGAGGGAGTCACCCATGACCTTTGTGTTTTGGTATAGACTCAAAGGCAGGCAGAGAGGGGGAAAACTTTATGAGGGTGGGGGGGAAGGGGAGGAAGGCGTAACCTGTACCCTGATTGGAGGCTGTTGGCCTGGTGTTCTGTGTGCTTGGTTAGGAGTACATATTTGGCTTTTTCTGTTTGTCCCTACCATGTGGGTAGCTCCCTGGCCGGCCTGTGGTGGCTGGTAATAGCCTGACAGCGCTATCTTTAACCCTTGCGCCACCAGAGAAGCCCTCACTGTATTTTTAAAACAGTGGTTCCCAAAGGGTCAAGAAAAAGATACAACTTGCAGGCAAACTATAGATCTAAGGCATACAGCAAGGGAGGGAAAAGAGGTCAAAACAGGGGAGAGAAGAGCATAGGGACTGGTAATGGCACACGGTGAATTGGTGGTGGGAATTTTACAGGGACTACACCTGACAGGAGAAAGCATACATTGTACAAAAATTAACAATGCAAAAAAAAAAAAGTATATATATATATGTATTTATGTATTTTAAAAAAAGACAGTGTCCTGTCCTGTAGAGGAAGTTAGGAAAATGAGACTAAAAATTAACATGTAAACGTGTGGCCTTGTAGTGGGCAAGGTGTGCTGTACCTGGAAGAGGCAAAGAAGCTGAAGTGGAGCCGTGCCTCAGGGAATATACACCCTCTTTCCCTAATTATTCTCAAGCCCCACCAGTCTCTTTGTGATTGGTTATTTCTCTGTGGTCTCACTCATTGCCTTATGGTCTCTGCGCCCAGAATTAAGTCTCTGTGTCCCAGCCCTTATCTTAGAGTCTTTTCTTTATCATCCTTGTTCCAGAATGTCCTGTTGTGCCTAGTCCTGGGGTGTTTGATTAGTCCCCTTTGGAATTTGTTGCCCTTATCACTGGAGCCGTCCTTATTCCTCCAAGTCTTTTCCTACTCTATTCTGACCCTAGAAGCTATCCGCTTGCCCTATGACTCAATCATAATTCCTAACATTCAATTCTGAACCTCTTGCATTCTTTGTGCACATGTTAGATTAAATGTTATATCTGAAAAGTCCTGATCTAAAGGTAAGATTCTTGACTTTGCCTCAGAACTGCCACATGGATTCAGGGGTGAAGTACAAGTTATGAAGAGGTATGGTGAGTGACTTGTGCTTTCATTAAAAATCAGCCAGAATGAACCTTCCTCTGAGTTCCTTTTCTAGTTACATAGCAGGTAATGCTTCAACATTTGTATTAATTTTGTATTAGAAAAGTCATTTTTGTGAAAAATAGAAATACTTTTGCAGAATGTTTTGAGGAAATCTAGGCATTTCCTAGGGGGCTTTGGGCCAGCTATTTTGTGATGAGAATGTTCCAGGTTATGTTTTAACTTTTGTCTTCCTCTTTTCTAGCCAAACTGTGATGAATATAAATTGCCAGGCTGTCCCAGGGACTATAGCCCCGTGTGTGGAAGTGACATGATCACTTATCCCAATGAGTGTACTCTGTGCATGAAAATCAGGTGACATAATTTTACAGTATGGATTAGTCAAGTTTTCTTTAGTCCTTAATTTTAACTATTTAAGAATTTATGACTCTTTTCTTGGATATAAGAACAAAATGTGACATAAGTAGTTCTGTTTTTAGACTAATATTTTGAAAGACAAAGATTTCTTCAGTGCATTTGTCAAATCAAAGTTACAGAATAAGGTTTGTTATTATCAGTTAAAGACCAGATGAGCAAATTATGCTATTACCTATGGATAGGCAGTCCCCATATTTGGAGTATATATTGAGTGAACTATGGACTGAAGTTCAGAGATATGTGCAGGTGGACTTGCAGCACCATTCAGAAAATCAGTCTTAATAACTCCACATGGTCAATGCTAAAATAAGTGTATGATATCTGATGCCCTTCATGTAACATATCTGGCCAGGTGACCGTGACTCCAGGTATCCTGTGTTGTATTTCAAGGGTTGGTTATCTGACTTCAGAGAGTTTACCTTAGCCTTTTCAGAGTGATTCTTTGGGATTTAAGGGAAAATAAGGTAGAGTTGGGATTTTTGCCCTAGATTCAAGATATAGCCTTTAAATTTTTTTTTTTTTTTTAATATTTGCATAGAAGAAATAGTTTGTAGGCCAGAGGTGCAGCTCAGGGAGGGGGTTAGTGAGAGGATTCACCAGAGACAGAGTAAGAAACAGGAGGATTTACTGAAATACACTGCTAAGGGGAGCAGTGGGCGAGACAGGAGAGGTCTGCTGGGCCGTATGTGGGTTAGCTCCCTGCTGGGATCCAGCTCAGGCAATAGCAGTTATAGCGCTGAGACTAACCCCTAGACCACCAGGGAGGCCCCTCTAGATAAAGCTTTAAAAAATAAATGTTACTCTAGAAGAAATCAAATATATAATGACATGGGTCCTTTAAATACAAATAATGGGACCACTCCACTATGGGTAGGCTGATCAATGTGTTTTATGGTTGTTCAATTTTCAGGGAAGAAAGTCGTGATATTAAAATCATAAAGAGTGGGCCATGCTGATGGAACAATTTACAGAAGAGGAGCTGGAGAGACCACCTTCAACCACACTCAAGATAAATTTCATTTTCCCTTTTTCTCTTTTCCTGTGTTTCTTTGCATTAGATTTGTCAGCCCATGCTTTGTGTGGAAGACAGCTATGTGCAATGACTGATAATTTCAAAAAACAAAAAAACTTTGTGTTTTGACTTTTGCCCTTTGACTTAAGCTTGTTGCCTAGGTGGTTTGTGGGTTGCTTTATTTAGTTGGAATAAAATCTCTATTGCATTCAACTACTGCTATTCTCTGTTGAATCTCCATTCTCAGCAACCTCAAGGTGGCTCTTTACCTCTCTAACAGAGGTGAATTTCTCTGAGAGGTGGAGTCGTTGCTGAGAGGGCTAGAGAATCCCAATTTTTCCTTTGCCTGAATCAAGGAAAATGACCATATATGTAACTGGCACAGTTCCTGCGTGTGGCAAATGACCCTCAGCTACTTGGTACCAACTTTAGTCTGAGTTGTAAAGTCAAAGAATCATTAGGTGGACATAGTTGCTAGATTCAATATTGAAATTCCTTTCGGTTTTTTTCCCTAAAGATTTATTTATTTTTGGGCCTCCCCGGTAGCACAGTAGGATGAGCACAGTGCTGTGAAGCTGTCCGCAACCTCTGCAGCACAGGTTTGATTCCCTGCCCGCCAGAAGATATCCACATAGCTCATCAGACCGCTCTTGTTTCTCCTATTGCTCTCCTCAGCCGTGCTTTCAGTCCATCTGCCTGTTGTGCTCCCCATTCTGTCTCTGGTTAATCCTCTTACCCTCCCATGCCATTGGCTTATATCTCAGTTCTTGTATACAAAAATAAATCTTTTATAGCTGGGGTACAGGCCAGAGGTGTGGGCGGGGCAGCGGGGGCTGCTGAGGGAAGTAGCAGGCGAGACAAGAGAGGTCTGCTGTGCCATGTGGGTAGCTCCCTGGCCAGGGATTGAACTCATGCTGCAGAGGCTGCAGATAGCTTCATAGTAGTGCTGTGCTTAAACCATTGTGACACCAGGGAGGCCCCAATTCCTTTTGATACAGTTTTCCATCAGGGTTCATGCAGGAGTTTGGCTACTTCCTCCTTTTGAAACAGTGATTTTGAACCAGGAGTGATTTTTCCCCCAGGAGACATTGGGCAATGTGTTCTGGAGGTATTTTTGGTGTCCCAACTGAAGAGTAACATCAGTGGTAGACGACTAACTGCACATCCTGAAGTTTAGGGACAGCCACACAATGGCGTTTTTCAGTCCAAATGTCAATAGTGCTGAGGTCATGACACATACTTTATACAGCATGAAGAATACAGGTAACAAAAACCAAACAAGGGCAACACAAAAAAAGAAAACTACAGGCCAATGTCTCTAATGAACATGGATGCAAAAATCCTCAATAAAATTTTAGCTATCAGAATCCAACAATGTATTCATAAGATAATTCACCACGACCAAGTAGAATTTATTCCAGGGACACAATGATGGTTCGACATCCAAAAATCAATCAACATAATCCAACACATCAACAAAAAGAAATATAAAAACCATATGATAATATCAATAGATGCTGAGAAAGCTTTCAACAAAGTATAACACCTAGTCATGATAAAGGCCCTTGAAATTCTTGAGATACAAGGAACATACCTCAACATCAAAAAGGCCATATATGACAAGCCCACAGCCAGTATCATTCTCAATGGTGAAAAGCTGAAAGCATTTCCATTAAGATCTGGAACAAGGGCCTACCCTGGTGATGCAGGTGGTTGAGCGCAGCTCTGTGAAGATGTCCGCAGCCTCTGCAGCGCTGGTTTGATCCGGACTGGCTAGCGAAGGTCCCACATGGCACGGCAGACCACTCCTGTTGTGCCCACTGCTCCCTTCAGCAGTGTATTTCAGTCAGCCTGCCTGTTCTGTTCCCCACTCTGTCTCTGGTGAATCCTCTTACCCTCCCACGCATCTGGCCTATACCCCGGTTTTTGTGTAAATGAATAAATAAATCTTTTTTAAGAAAAAATCTGGAACAAGACAAGGATGTCCACTCTCACCATTGTTTTCAATATAATACTGGACGTCCTAACCAGAGCAATAAGACAAGAGAAAGACACACAAGGAATCCAAATAGGCAAGGAAGAAGTCAAACTATCACTATTTGCAGATGATATGATAATATACACAGAGAACCCCAAAAACTCCACAGAAAAACTAATTAAACTAATCAATGATAAAAATGACCAGGGGTTGATTTAGACTGATAGTGCTTTCACATCCCCTGCTCATGGACTGGAAGAATAAACATTAAAATGGCCATCCTACCAAAAGCAATATACAGATTCAATGCTTTTCCAATCAAAATTTCAATGTCATTCTTCAAAGAAATAGAACAATTATTGATGAAATTCATATGGAATCACAAAAAACCCCGAATAGCCAAAACTCTCCTGAAACAAAAAGAAGGAAATGGAGGCATCACACTCCCAGACTTCAAACTATACTACAAAGCCATAATCATCAAAACTGCATGGTATTGGAACAAGAACAGACATACAGACCAATGGAATCAAATAGAAAATCCAGAAATAAACCCACAGATTTATGATCAACTAATCTTTGACAAAGGAGCAAAGACTATGCATTGGAGAAAAGAAAGTTTGTTCAATAAATGGTGCTGGGAAAACTGGGTCACTACATGCAAAAGAATGAAGCTTGACCATTACCTCACACCATACACAAAAATCAACTCAAAATGGATTAAAGAACTAGACATAAGACCTGAAACCATAAAATACATAGAAGGAAATATAGGTGAAACACTACGTGATTTGCACATCAAAGACATCTTTACAGACACATCACCCAAAGCAGTGATAGTGAAGGCAAAGATAAACAGCTGGGACTACATCAAATTAAAGAGCTTCTGCACAGCAAAAGAGACAATAACAAAAACAAAGAGAAACCTCACCAACTGGGAGAACATTTTTGCACACAACACTAACGATAAAGGACTGATCACAAAAATCTGCAAAGAGCTGATGAGACTCAACAACAACAAAGAAAATAATCCAGTCAAAAAATGGGCAGAAGAGCTAAAAAGAAACTTCTCTGAAGAGGAAACGCAAATGGCCAACAGGCATATGAAAAAATGTTCAACATCACTTGTAATCAGGGAAATGCAAATCAAAACTACCATGAGATACCATCTTACACCAGTGAGAATGGCACATATTAAAAAAACTAGCAACAACAAATGCTGGCGAGGGTGTGGAGAAAAAGGAACTCTTCTGCACTGTTGGTGGGAGTGCAAACTGGTCCAACCACTATGGAGAGCTGTGTGGAGATTTCTGGACCTACTAAACATAGAGCTTCCATATGATCCAGCAATTCCACTCCTAGGTATTTACCCAAAGGACACAGAAACATCAATTCCAAAGAGCACCTGCACCCCTATGTTTATAGCAGCACTGTTTACAATAGCTAAGCTTTGGAAACAACCCAGATGCCCAAAAATAGATGACTGGATCAAGAAGATGTGGTACATATATACCGTGGAATATTACTCAGCATTTAAAAAAGATAAACACACCAATTTGCAGCAACATGGATGGCACTGGAAGGGATCATGCTCAGCGAAATAAGCCAGAAAGAAAAAGAAAAATACCAGATGGTCTCACTCATAGCAGGAATCTAGAAAACTTAAATAAGGGACCAGGAAAATGAATAACTATAAGAAAGTGAAAATCAAAATCAACAAAAAACTATGAACCAGAGACACTTTTTGGGAGGTGGGGGGCAGGAGGGGAGGGACTGGGGTCAGAATGGGGGGGTTGAAATTGTATGGGGAATATAAAAATAAAATTTATTATTAATTAAAAAAAATAGAATGATAGTGCTCTCTAGGTAGAGGATTTTGAGTCACTACAGTATTCTTAATCCATAAAATTGGAATCATAGGCAAATGCTCTGGGTTTTTATTATATAAGGTACTGTCCTTCATGCTTTATGTTGTTTAAGAGAAAAAGGCAACTTTGTTTCATAATACATTAGTGATTCCGTTAGTGTTTTTCTAACTATGGAGAAGAGATTATGTTCACATGACATTTATGATAAAATGAGATTTCATAGTTCTTCTATATTTTTCCTGTCCTCAAGTAAAATTAGAGTTCCTTATATGTAAAAAGAAAAAGAAGTAGGGTGGGAATATATCAAAACATGACCAAAATTATAATGATTGTGGTAATTTTTCCTTCAAGGTGCATATACTACTTTGATAATTTCAATAAAACATCTCTTAAAAAATAGACGGGGAGGAAGAAAGATTGTTATTTTAAAAGCCAGGAGGTGAAGGAAATCTTAATTGAACTGACAAATCTAAGAGCCAGAAATAATCTACCAAAAATAATCTTTTGCCAGATTTCTTTGCCATCAGGCAGTAATTCCGGTCAGAGTTGAGACACGAGGGGGCAGTGGCTCCCTGTTCCGCCACCAGCAGTTCAAACCACTCAGCTTGAAACCAGCTAAGCACTTAGAACCATCGCTACACACCTTGGGAGAATCACATTACACATGCAAACTCCTTAAAGGCTCTTAAGCCTAGGTTCTTTGAAGACACCAATTCTGTGAATAAAACTGAATGAATGATACAGCTGGAGTTAGTGTGGACTTAGGTACCTAGGTGAAAAGATGGGGAATAAAGAAATAGAAACCATTTTACCTTCTGGAGAGGGCAGAGATAAGGAAATATTCTCAGATTTTACCTGGAAGGACTTGAATTTGAAAAGCTGTCAGAAGAGAGGGCTCAAGTTTCACTGACCTGGGCTAACAGTTCTGACACTGGAACCAATGACTGACCTAGCAGAGCTGGCTTCTCTGTTTGGGCAAGTTTACCCGGAATCTACCAACCGTCCTGCTCTAACTGCCCTAACTCCCCCCTCTGCCTCTGGCTTGTTATCTTTCACCCTAGCTAAAACGTCTGCCAGTGCTACTGAGCATGTGTGTGGGATTGACAGTTGTATGGGAACCGTGCCACCGTTACTGACCCCTAAATTTTGATGCAGATTGTGAAGCATATTTTAATATATGTTTTGAAAACATGACAGAGCGTTTAAAATTAGAACTCTCCAAGAATATCCTGGACATATGATTGGCACTTGTGCATTCTTCAATAAATATTTATAGAGTCTCATGCCAGGGATAGGGCTACGTGCTGTGGACACAATAATACATAAGGACCAGGCAGGATTGGGTCATAGTTGAAATGCAT